TATAAAACAACCCTTTCCTCTCTCTTCTGGGAACATGGCCATGTTGCAATCCCTTCTACTCTTGGGATTTTGGGCAAACACACATACATATGCCCAGTGTCAGTTTTAAGTCACCAGGTCTAGGACTCAAACCATAGTCAACCATGTGGGAGTCCAGTGCCCTGACCACCAAACCATCTGCTGGCCCCATTATTATATTTTAATCTGCTATAGAGCACATGTGGTCATCAGAGAGAGAGAGAGAGAAAGAGAGGTAAAATGAGAAAACAAGCTGTCAGGTTTGGGATTCAAACCACAGTTGACCATGTGGGAATCTAGTGGGAATCCAGCGCTTAACCTCATGCCACCTGCTGGCCCTATATGGTACTGTTTTATGTAGAGGGAATATTAGAAAAGCAGAATTACCTCCACAAAGTTACAATATAATGGGCAGATGTGTAATAAATAATGTAAAAATAAATATGTATTTATAAATTTTGATAGGTGCTATTAGGGTACTATACTGGAGGGTTTTACTTAGATCAGGTAAGGAGGTTAAATAAGGGCTTCTATGGTGAACTGAAATTTAAGTGACAACCTAAGGAGTCAACAGGTGATGTGGTGGCTAAGGTACTAGACTCCATGGAGGAGTCTAGTACCTTATAAATAATTAGATAATTTGTTAAGAATTATTAAATAATTTGAAGAATTATTTAATTAAGAATTAATTAAATAATCTTTTAAGAATTATTTTCTTTCATTTATTATAATTCTTGTTTAATTTGACCAGAGAAAGGGAAAGTAGGAGAGCAAGTCTCCAGGTCCAGGACTCAAACCATCGTTGGCCATGAGGGAGTCCAGTGCCTTAACCACCACACCACCTGCCAAGCCCTAAATAAATAATTTTTAAAACTTCTTAAAAAAAAAGGGGGGGGCTGGCAAGTGGTGTGGTGCTTAAGGGCATTCAATTCCCACATGGCCAACCATGGTTCAAGTCCTGGACCTGGTGGTTTGTTTCTCACTTTCCCTTGCTCTATCTCACTCTGTCCCTCTCCAGCCAAATAAGTAAGTAAGTAAATAAATAAATAAATGAAGTTAAAATAAAATAATTCTTAAAAAAAAAAAAAAGAGATTTATGTTGCAACCATAGGATTGATTAGTAGGTTTTTTGGTTGGTTTGCTGTTTTTTCAAGTTTTTGCCATAGGGCACATGTGCTTACTCAAGAGACAGAAAGGGAAGGTGAAAAATCAGCCCCCAGGGGGAATGGCCACATTCCAATCCCTTCTCCTCCTCTCTCCCCCTGGAATTTTGAGCAGGCATGCACACATACCCAGTGTGATCTTCAAGTTGCCAGGTCCAGGACACAAACCATGGTCAGCCATGTGGGAGTCTAGCACCTCAACTCTCACATCACTTGCTGATCCTCCCTGCACACATCCCTTTCATTTAGGCTTTTGTTATAGGGCACCTGTGCTTGCTGGAGAAAGACAGAGAATGAGAAATCACCCTTCTGGGGGACCAGCAATTAGCGTAATGGCTATGTCGCTGGACTCCCATGTGGTCGACCACGGTTCATGTCCTGGACCCAGTGGCTTAAATTCACGCCAGGCGCATGTGCGTGCGTGTCCAAGATCCCAAGAGGAGAACGTAGAAGGGATTGCTGCTTTGTCATCCCCCTTGGGGGGTGATTTCTCGCTTTCTGTCTCTCTGTCTCTGTCTGTCTGGCGAGCGCACGTGCCCTATAGCAAAAATCTCTCAAAAAAAAAATTTTAAAAGAAAAAAAAAAAGAAATCACCCTTCTGGGAGGATGGCCACAGGACAGTCCCTTTTCCTCCTGGTATTTTGGGCATGCATGCACATGTGCCCAGTGTGATTCTCAAGGCACCAGGACCTTGATTGGCTGTGTAGGAGTCCAGTACTTTAGCCACCACACCACCTGGCTTGGATCAATAGGTTTTAGTCAGGCAGAGTAGGGAGGAAAGTATTTCAGGTATTGGGAATACATGTGTGAAGGGAAA